TGTCGAAGTCACGAGGCGAGTATAAACGCTGTCTTGATCAGCTATTGCGGTTTCGCGGTGAATTTCTCCATGGACCTTGCACTGTGACCTTTCTAGATCCTTTTCACCGCGAGTATCGCCGAGTTTGCCACGCGAAATGACAACAATTTTGCGTGGAAGACCGAAGGGAAACCGAAGTAGGTTCAAGGAGTACCAAGGAAGTCCTTGATGAGGAGAATCGAATTAGGAGATGGGTTAAATTAAGTTGATGGATCTGTGACGTGATCTGGGAACTAATTACTATATTCTTCGAATGTACTGTATCTATTTAACAATTTTTATCCCGTGTAACAATATGATTTTGTGGAATGGTTTTGGATAAATATTTTAGGTAGATTCTTTGAGATAAAGTTCGGTTTCTATCTTTCTTCCTTTCCTTTTTTCTCAAGGTGGTTTAGAAATTTTGTATTCGACGAGGATAATGCTGTCATAGATCAAGGATTCGGTTTTAATTACGTATGTGCACAAACTCGGAGTCGAACATAACCTCCAAACGAATAGGCGTTGCAACAGCAATGCCACGCCTTTTATGTAAACCGGATGAGAAAAATGACGCGTCGCGTCTTCCTGCTCTTCCTATTGTGTGTCATAACCTCACTGCGCGTAAACTTCGTGCGATGACTCTAAACAGGACTTAATTAAGTCAAGCTGGCGTTTTAAACGCGTAGTTTACGTTAATCATTCGCGATTATGATCTCTGATATCAATTTCGAAGTGTAAATAAAAAGACAAGGGAACGAGGCGTTGCATATCGATGAGTACAGTACAGAGGACATTCAAATCGATATACGACTACCGTGTCTATAACGCAGTCATCAATCTTTCAACGATTCGTTCAATCTTTCGACGTTTCAATTTAGTTCGGTATAGATCTGTAGAAGGAAATTACAGGTGTTACGGAGGCTGAACTCGTAGTATTAAAACTTCCATTTTCCCGAGATTCTTGGAAAATGGCGTAGCAGCCTACCCGCAAATTGCGCGTCGATCGACAATCCCATTATTTATCCTATTTCTTACAAACATCGCTTTGGAATGTATAAATAGCAAAACGAGGAATAAACTGCGAAAACTTCGCTATACCGTATTGTATCTTTTTATAAGCCAGTCTGCAAAGTGTGCACCGCCGATCAGCGGGTTAACCAGAATCATTAATAGCTGCCCTGCAGCAGACTATGACACGGTGTAAATGAAAAAGGGGCAAGCAGTTGCGTCAACGCGGGAACGCCGACCTCGATCCTTCTGTGGTAAACGAAATTCCTGTTTGACCCGAATTTCACGCTCACTGTGGCGAAGAACGAGAGAAGAAGCAAAAGAAGAAGAAGAAGAAGGAAAAAAGCGCCCGTGTGGATTTCAGCGAACGTTGCGGGCCGTCATGAGCGGTAAAAAATGATCGTATCGGGGATTTCTTTCTCGCCTGGCACATAATGCAACACGTGTCCGCAATTAAAAGCGCGCGGTGGAAAACTTTTCTTTCCCTTCCTCAGTCTGTACCGTCTCGAATACCTATCTTCGATCTCGCTTTTTATCTTACATAACCTCCAAATATATTACGATTTTAATTCCGTTGCATCGGCGATGCCCATTTTCTCAATTCTCCGTTTCTACGCGTAACGCGTAAATTTGCGAAAGAGGTTATAAAAGAGATAACCGATACTGTAGAGATCTTCGAATCCGTAATCGACAGAGGTAATCGTCCCTTTATTAATTCCCGCGAACGAACAGCAGCGCCACGGCCTTAAACGGTGGCCGCAATAGTACACTTCCGCTTGTGATCGAATGTTCTGCGACAGGGTAGTAAATATTCGAACCGATTGCCATTTCTCGGCCGAATCGCCGGTACACGCTCGGAAAGCCAAACGACTTAATCGCCGATCTGCACGCCGGCCAGGAATTTATGCAAATCACGGTATCCGCCAGACTTCGCGATTGCACTCGCGCCGGTTCAAAGATAACGCTGACAAATTGGCCCCAGATTAAGGGCATTTCGGAGAGGCATGCACGGTAACCGGGTAAGGCGAAACGAAACTGGGTCTGCGACCCCTAACACACGCTTTCGTGTACGTTTCACTTCGTTCACTCTCCAGTGTATTTGCACCCAAGGTATATACACGTCGATATCGCTCCGGTTCCTTGGGTATTGGTATTTAAGCACGCGTTAAGTGGTTAAACCATTTCCACTTGATTTATTCGCCCTCGATTTAATCAGGCGTTTCCCGGTTGACGAAAAAACCATTGGAACGACGTGACCGAGACGAAATTTGACCATGGTTTCGCGTGACTATGAAAAAGAGCGACTGCTGCTGAAAAAAACGCTCTGTTTTCCTTGGCAAAAGCTTTCAAGTGGAACATGTGTTAATATCTCGAAATATAGCGCGAAATATAAAATTAGAATGTCCATCTTACCAGTGAATTTCCACGCGAGATATTTTTGTGCAAACATTTCTCGAAATGCGACCTCGATTTTTTTCAGCCATTTATTTGGGGGGTTTATCCGTCCAATTTGAATCACGTTTAGTCACGTTACACCACACCCGCACATCGTTGCAACCGATGTATTAATTATTCATTCCACATCTCGCAATGATACGTGTAATTGCCAGCGTGTATAACTCTGTGTGTATGATCGACTCGATATAGCTCAGACGTGACATGTCATTTTTCAGGTTATAGTTACATAGGTAATAACAATTCTACTATGTGTTCGATTCTTCTTCTTCGAGTACCTCGCGCTCATGACCCTCTCGAATTAAAGGCGCGAGATTCGACTACAACGAATGCAAGAACCCTGTGCACCAAGAGTGCGTGTTCGTGCCTCGTTACCAGCGAACAACGTGCTCTTTATTCTCGCATTATATTTACGTGTCTACGACTGGCATACTGTACGACGTTTCAACACGGTCTATGCACGTTTGAGGTTATCCCGACTCATATCTATGTATTAGTATACGCGGCTTTCGAGTACGCTCTACCTGGTCAGAACAATACACAGAGACGCCTATACTCTCCGCGAGAACAGGTGCATCGGCCTGAAGTACGACGAGGAAAATTATTGATTTTCGTTTACCTACTGAGCTGGTTGGTGTCCCGTGTTAGTATGGCGAATGCAACGCCGTCCCTTGGCACGACTGGGACGCCCTGCATTCGAAGACAATGGCCTTAGGTCAGTGAGCCTCGTGCCATCGTGACACCGTGAAAATCGAACGTGGGTTGAAATGGGAACCGACTCGTTATCACCGGTCGAGCAATAACCTTTTCCACTTCTTATTTGTACTTTTCGTTTCAAGTTCGAACAAATAGACTTGTCGAAGAAATTTCTAGGGATCCTTCGATAAATCGATATTTGCAACTAGCGGGAAGAATGCGCAATCGATATAGGTTATGTTCGCAACGTGAAAATGTCTAACCTGTTTGTCTCGTAGTTGCAATCGAAGGAAGCAATACGTTGATAATTATAATAATTAGAGAAAGTGCTTTGTTATGAAATTTATTATTATTTTTTATTTGTCAGTTTTTTTATTTATTTTTTTAATTAAGAAATATTATTAAATTGCTTATTGTGCATTAACGAGATGATCGATCAATCATATTCACAGACTTTGAACAAAATTAAAGATCAAAATGGCTGGTATTAGCGAGATTATTAACGCTGATTTTCGTACGATATTGACGTTCCGTAATTCCGTTGCAAATTGTTTATTCTTATGGGATTACAACAAGAATGCTAACTGATATCGTTCTATCTAATCAACGTTCACAAATATGCACGGTTTTTCGTAGATGTATATGATATTTTTAATTAATGTGCTCAGGTACTGTTGCAAGTGTTTGTATCGGAATGCAATCTTTTATTTATTAGATAAGCAAGAAAATGTTACGAGACCGCGACAGTTAATGATTAATTAGCAATAGACGTGATTTTAAAAAATAAAGAATTACAACAAGAGAACAATACACTGTGAAATGGGGCAGAAATTGAAGTTAATAGAGATTGCAAAACAATCGCGAGATATTGCTATAAAATCATTACGATTTCGCGTAAAATTAGGAAAAAATAAAATAATTTATCGATATTCACAAAAATTGATCTGTGATCGATTTTTTTTGATCGCTTCGAAAAATTAAAAATGTAGAATATCGATTGACATTTCGTCAGAATTTTTTTTTTTTCCGTGCTTCTTTCCTAAGCGATTTACTTGACGGAAATATTTTTATGCTACAAGCATATTTTTCTTTAAAGATAAAAAACGAGTGATTATGTTAGTCGGTTTTCTCGGGAGGAATGCAAGGCTAATACACAAAACCAAATATTTAGTCACCAGCCGAAGAAACGATTCCGCAATAACAGTTACCGATATGTAACAATTGTAATCGATATAAACGTTTAATTTTTAATAAGCTATTCTTATACGTAGCGTTAAATAAATTACGTGTAATTTGAATTATTTTTTCTGGGTGTACTATTGCTTAATGATAACATAAGCAAAGGTACAAGATATGGGAGAATGTAAGACAGATCTCGGGGATTGAAGTGTCCGGTCAAATGATCGATAAACACGCATCGACTCTCACTCTCTGTTACAGCATTTACGAAACACCTATTAAATATCATACTGGAAGCCTAATCGATCGTTAGATGACAAAGAAATGATTACTGCAAATGAGATTTCGGTAAAGCTATAAATAAAAAATTAAAGTATCGAAAATAAATTTTTTTTTCGATATTTTATATCTATATATGAGTTTACTGATAATATGTAGACCATTGAAAAGGTTAGTCGCCTGTGTTTCTTATTTTGATGCTGTACCGAAGGAATATATAAAAATCTGAATATTTCAGCGGCCGATACAAATAATGCATGAGTATCCTAATGTAAATTTAAACGAGAAAAGCAACGTACTGTCGTAACGACTTATTTCTACCTGATTCGCAGAACATGCATAGATAAATAAGAAAAACTTACCATTTTGGACAGAGTAGTCCCACTCGCTTTTGCCGGCCATCTCGGTGAACGATTGTCTTATCAAAAATTCAAATCCGCGAAATTAAGATCCGAGTAGAGTTTACTGCCGGTCGTCTTGTCTGTTTATGTTCCTTGGTTAAGTCGAACACGTCACTAAATTGCCTCTTACGATTTACGTCGACGAATTGTAGTTACTACTAGTTACCGGTAACTTGCCGATCAAATTCACCACCGATCGATTCGAAATTCGAAGCGAAATCGAGAAACGATTGTCAAATAAACGTCGCCAACTAGCTTCGAACTTTTTCCCCTCTCTTTCGAATACTTTTAATTTGTACTTGTAAGAATTATTCGATGACTATAATAGTATGGAATTTTACGAACGTGCGTTTGTCAAAGGCTTAAGAAAACTTTGTTTCTACTAAAGTTCGAAGTAAAAAAGCGACTCACGTTACATGGAATCATCCACGAATGTGACGCCGGCCGGCCGACCATTGGATTTTATACGCGCGCTGGTCACGTGACTCTTACTATGGAAAAGTGGGCAACTGCGCATGCGCTAGTAAATGTTTACACGTGCACCGTCAATCCCCACCGTAGACTACGTAGCACGTGCTTGGTTATGATCAACACTCATAATTTTGGAAGTTCCTAAATTTCTAAATCTTTAAACAGTTTGATCGTATAGATTAACTCGGCGAATGTAATGGATATGTTTAAAGTTTACTTTGAATATTCGTAAAGAGGTTGGCGATCGAGTTGCCCACATTTGTTCGTACAGCGTGAGGAGGGGGGAGGGCAGCAACTAGCGACTTAATGCCTTAATGATTCATTTTATAATCTATTTCAAATAGGAGCATTAATCTCGATGAGATGATAAGGCAGCATAACGTGTGACAATCGTTATATCAGCTACGATGGAAAGAAATCGAGTATGTTCTTTTGCCGAAGGTAAGTCAAGCATTTTATTTCTATCCGCGAAACCCTTTGTCGTCTACTAATTAAATTTTTACATAACCTCTAAAATTTCAGGAAACGCTCTCGTCGCTGTTTTAAGCATGCACTCGATTATCGTGATCGATCGATAATTAACAGTCGATGAACAAGAAGATTAGATTAATCCTCGAACTTGTACTCTTGAACTCTCGATTCATTCAATTGTACTTATGATATGCAGTTTTTTACTGGTACATTCGCTTCTTTATTTCAATTTACAATCGCACCAGTGACTTTTGTGTCACATTATCCATTTCCTACTGTGTAGGTCATGACATCGGTACACAACTGACGGATATTATTTTAGCCGTTGTTTCTACACGCACATTTCTAAATCAGACGACACAAGTGCGTTTATTATATTAACCGGAGAATCACGATATAATGAAACGGCGTTTGTCAACCGATGAGTCAGAGTAGCCCCTACGAGCTTGAGTGTCTGTATATCCCCATTGTACTTTCACCACTTTTATCATTCGAAGGCAAGTGTCTGAGATAAGTACACATCATTTTTATCTCAAATTTATTTCCGTTTTATGTACTTTTATATTCCCGTATACCTTTCCTAATTAATTGAATTTTTCCCTATATTTAATTTTCTAGGAAAAATGGAAACCTGATGCAGCAAAATTGAATATGTCAATATCACGTGCCGTAAACTCGACACTACGTTCGCATACACTTACAACATCGGCATTGCTTTGTCAACTGAATCTTTTAAAGGGGTTAAATAATTAAACAAAGAGACCAGACTAATCTGTTTAGCTACACACTGTTAAGCTTCTGAGACAAATGTTGGCGCATTTAGATTCTCTTTCAAATTTGTAATAGTAACAGATCAGAGTATCACTATAGAGTAGCCGGATAGCAATGAATTAAGATGCACTTTGATCGCAGTTCGATCTCCATTTGTGTACAAACATGCAAGTACCGAGGAACTCGAACCGAGAAGCTCGTGCCACTTTAATTTCATCAAGCTCGGATAACACTGTCACGTCAATGTTATATCATGGAACATGCCCGACCCTAGCTGTGGTCGTTCCGTCTTCGTTATACCAATAAAGCAAACCGGTCGCACTACGATGCTCTTAATAAAAAGTAATGAATTCCAGTAAATTCCACTGCAAAACCTCAATGGACGTCTTTCCTGCTTTTTCTCGCCATCTGTTGCGGTTTTTCGCCTGTGATCTTTCGAATCGCTTGTTTGTTTCGGCTGCGGTTCATGGTTATCGTCATCTTAAACTAAAGGCTATTCGTTTCGTTACTTTTATCTTCAGACTTCTCAAACAAAGATAATATTCCGAACCTTCCTTGTTAAGTTCTCCTTAAATAAATATATTTCAAGAAATGAATTTCGATAAGATTTCACGAAATAAGTACTTCTTTGTTGGCTGCACACGATGCTTAGAGGAATGCTTGCTATGATTAGGATTGTCTTTGACGATGCGTAGGTTGGGCTAAAAAAGGCATGATTTAGTTGGTAGACTAGCTCACGCAGATATAAACGATGGTTGCATAAAAGAAACGACGGAATCGCGAAGACATAATACTCCTAATAATAAGTTTTTCAACGATCAACCCGTATATACCGATTGACAAACGACCTGTGACGCAATCCGTTTTGGTATGCTCGAATGCAAGATCTGCCCGGTCGTCGAACCAAAGAGGACACCGCCTGAAATTCAATGAAGCGAAGATTCGATTTTAATCGAATGTGGAACAGGATTTCACAAAATTGTATTCAATAACAATACTAGCCACGGTCATTCAGGTAGATTTCTTGAAAAGATTATTATGAGTCACGATATTTTTATTCTTAGGATGACTGCAAAGGTTTTTCGAACTACCAGTGTCATAAATTTATGAGGCCCTGCATAAATTTTTTCAACATGGTCAAAGCAGTCACAAAAGGAATTTCGATTTTCTGTACTAAGCTTGCACGATTATTCATTCATCGGGAGCCAGGCAACCGGTTGTTCCAAACACCAACTGCTTTGCATTTTAATTTCAAGTGTCGGCATACAGGAAAGGATATTCTGTTCGAATTCTTTATAACTCTTATGTAATTGTCATTTTGTTCGTCCTTCATTGCAATTAAAGCGTTGCCTGCTCGTGTTCCACCTTTGTGAGCGTTTCTGATCTCTGTAGCCTCGCGATTGTTCGACGACCAAATTCAAGGAACGCCTTGAACAGAATCATAGCGAAAATAATTTATGCTAATCGCGATGAACGTCAGTTCAGTTTGCCAGTTTATCCCTTGGCAGTATTGTCGTGCGCATTAATCATCGGCTCTCGTAACGGTGGTGGCAGACGCGTTAAAAATGCTAATCGGTGATCACCATCTGCAGCATCGCTGCATTTGCTTTTTTAATACGTTTCGCACGTTTCCTGTTAGAGTCTTCTATTTTCAGATGGAACTTGTTAAACATTTAAACTGCGTATTAAACGCTTATCGCTAACGATACACTAAACGTTAAAAATGCTTTAAATAACCTAGTGCGATGTACAAATAAGGTATTATTTAGAAAAATATTTTTCTCTGAATGGAATTTGGAAACATCACGTTTTTACAAGCATTCCGATGCATCTGGAGAATTCTGAATCGTCACTCTGCTGATACTCGAACTCCTGCAATTTCCATCAATTTTTGCGCAACCAATTCTAACTTAATAGTCTTCATACTTGTGCAATACTTACTATTGGTCATTATCTTTTATTACTCGAACTTTTCATTAAATTACGCTTGGTCCACTTATTCTCTGAATCATTGGGTTTCCAAAAATTTCGGACAAAAATACTCTTATCACTGTTACGTCTCTAGGCGAACAGTGTTCTTCAATTAACGTAACAACGCAGAACGAGATGATGGATAATGAAATGTAATACAAGAATTACCTTTTGAATGATTTATTGCTTACTTATTAAACAACTTCTTTTACTTAAACGAAACAATCATGTCACCAGGGATTTCCCAAAAAAATCTATTTATATTTTATCTTGGAATAACTCTTTATCAAACCGATTTACCAAAAACCCCAAGAAATTTACTCGAACTTCGATCGATTACACAATTCCCTCTTTGTCGTGACAATACTCGCCATTTTCCAGTTTTTATTGTCTTTTGATGAATCGTTAGTTAATGACTGCTAGATCTCCAAGTTGACGTATACGGGTGATAATCGATCACAAAAAAGGTAACGTGAAATTCACCATTATCGTGGCGATGTATTTGCTGAAAAAAAAAGAAAAAAAAAATTATACGAACGTGCAACATCAATGTCAAAAGCGAGGCCAACAGTCGGCTCGACGTAAGAACTCTTTGTCAGCTCCGATCTAATTAATCCTCGTTAAGTCATCGTCAATTGTTTACGTAAACGAATATTCGACTAGCAAACGTAAACTTTCGGTCGCCAATTGCTAGCGTAAGTTCGCCACTTTGTTTCAGCTGCAATTATTACATACGTTGCGATTATCTAAGTTATTAGCACCTGTGTCATTTTTGTCATTCCTTATAAGCACGTGTTAGACGACGACGAAACGTGAGGCGCTAGGATCAACAGGGGAACAGACGATAGATATATACTGAAAGTGTACAATGGACTCTCGAGTAGTTCGTCTTACCAAACAAATATGTGTACCTTGTTATAGATTCCATATGAGAATAGAAAACATTTGCACACGTGTTTTCTATTATTACCTAGTTAAATGGAATGCAGATGTAAAGATCGAATAAAAATGGAAGAGGTTAGCAAATAGGAAGTGAAGGCAAGTCAAAGGTAGGTTACCTGAACAACTGGAATACGAAAGCAGGAAACATTCGTGTTGTAGATCGAGATAAGTCGAAGAGAAATCGACGAGGAGTAAATTGTAGATGACAAAATGAAGCTTCTAGGAAATCGAAGTTTCAGGCAGATCCTTGAACAATCGCGTTGCCTGCGGGAAGGTTATGAAAGTGTTAAAAAATATTGAAAATAATAATCGATCAGTTTGATCGCAATAAGGTACGTACAGTGGAAAGAAACGATACCTGATATCCTAAAATGGCTTTATTAACTGTTAACTTTACACGTGTTTAATATGCAGTACTTGTCAGAGATATCTGTATACGCGTGTGTCTGTGTGTTATTCTCAACGCTCCTTCATTCGTCGTCGACGACACCGCTAGAAAGGATGATCGTTAACGAGATACGATAACTTTTCGATCATGCAGATCGAAGGAAGGACGATATTTTACCTGGCCCGAGCTCCTTTCATCTGGGGTTCCGTCGAGGCGCCATAGCGGACAAAAATAATTTGCGAATTCCCAGTCAATAAGTATTATTCTTATGTATATACCGTTATGTGTACAAGAAATTCCTTATACGCGACGTAATAATCGTTCTTCACCCTCTTCTCTTTCCTTGCAATGGAACTTTTTCGTTTATCGATACCTGCTGAATTCGATCGAATTCTACTATTTTCCGATGTCTCGTTTCCCTTGTAATTTCTGTTTGTTCCTTTGTTCTTGTTTTCCTACCTCTCATTCTCCTTTGTACAAAATACTTTCGACCCCCCCCCCCTTCTCTCTCCTCTTATAGAAAAAAAAAAAAAAAAAAAAAGAAATCAAGTTCCCTCGAGTGTCTTCAAACGATAGTCGTGTTTATATTCCCGTTTTCGGCAATCCTAACCTCTTCTTTACATCTTTCTCCCTCCGACACCGCCATCTGTATCTTATAAATATCGTACACGTCTATCATACATAATCGTCGTTTCCGTCACAGTAACACAATTGCAGCGCATGAGAGTTACGCGTACAGCGATGATATGATTAGAAGCATGATATGAATTCTGTTCTTGCTTATCGCAGGTCACAGACCGGAGATTCGAAAGTAGTCTTTAAATAGTCCTTCGCGATCGGTCACGCACGATCAATGCAGTCTTATCCACGATTCGAGCCCCTTTTATTTTTATTTTTTATTGTATATTTTTCTTCATGTAAAAAAAGGTTTCTGCTCCACTTCTCTTCTTTTTTTTTTTTTCTTTTTTTAAAGGCAGCTCGGGCGTGGATCGTCTTGTCGATCCGTGACGCTTCAATTTCCTTGAACAGCGGATACGCTAAAACGTGATACAAAAATAGAAAATACTCCGAGGTTTCTAATTCGTGCGATTATCGCGACGAGTTGTATATCTTGTTCGTTTCATGGGAACGTAACGTTGCTTCGTAGAGTAGAATATGCCTGTTCGTTTTGTTCTGCGATAAACAAGACGCGATGAAAAAGGATTCAAGAGATAGTCGCGTGTTAATATACTTAAATCTTCTACATTATAAAGACGTGAATTAATAGTAATATATATTATATCGTAATTTAGCTTGCATACGAAACATCCGCTTATCATTCTACATACACAATTATCATCATTCACACGAAGTTTCAATAGGAGTGACCCCAAATTTGCGGATTCGTCAACTACCTGTTCCAGTTGCAAAGAAGTGGATGACCGGAGCCTCCAAATTCGAGGTACGCAAAAGATACCGTTTTATTCTTTCCTTTTGTTTCTTCCTTTCCCTCACCTTTCGTTTTCTCTTTCTTTCGATTTCTCGCATTATTTCTTTCCTCTTTTAAAAAATATCAGGAAACTATCGAGGTATTGAAGAAACGTTAGCGCATACATACCCGTATCCCGTGTCGAAAAAATTGTGACCTCTATTTTTTCTTTTTTCCTTTTATTTTATTTAATCGTTCACGGAAATCAGCCGGAAACCTTTTGTAACAGAGCAGCAGGTTAAGATTGTATAAAGTCATTCTTATAAAAACGCGCATGCGCCCTGCGCGTAGGATGTACGGGTGTTTACGCTTGTTTGTATATGTTAAAAAGTTTATTCACCTTCCCCTCCTTTTGCTCCTTATTTAATCTCATTTTTCTTCTCTGGTTTAAATAGTTAGTACTTTTTTTGGCTTGGTAACTATATAACATCTAAATTAAATTAAGCCTTCGACGGGTTTAAAATCGTTAAGTGATACGTAATAATAATACGAAAAACTTCCCCTTTTTTCAAACGATAAAAAATAAAAAAAACCTTAGACAATAGTTACAGGAGCATTATAGTTAAAAAGAAAACGGACTCTTTCGTCATATTGTGCGTGAAACGAATAGAAAGCTTCCTGTACAGTGCAAAAAATTAAAAAAAAAAAAAGGCAAAATGAAATAAAAGAAAAATAATAAGATCAAGATAATGTAAATGCTATGACAGTGGGTCTGGCAGTGTTTTTGAACGACATCGATCTAAGTAACTGCATCAGACTGTCTATCGAACGACAAATAGGTAATATACATATTTATATATATATGTATATATATATA